TTAATGTCATTGAGTACCTATACAGCAATATGCCAATATATTTTTAAATCATTTAACAATTTGTATAAGTGTATGACCAAATTTGATTAAAAAACTGTTGGTAAATTCATCGTTTCTTCGATATTTTAATTTTAAATTGAGTTATAGGTAGGTCGTGTCTAAAATATTACAATAATACTCAGGTTAAAGGTAACGAATTTCGTCCATGATTTGATGAATCATAATGAATGAAAATATTGAAGAAATACCTCCAACAAGACATTGACAGTAATATTGTTATTATTTTTTATTGTTCCTAGAATCAACTACAATCGATATTACTCAACATAAATATTTATATTATATTGATTTATTCATTTCGATTTTTTTTTAAGATAGACAATGTGTTTATGGTACATGATAATGGACAAATTGCTTCTTATAGATTTTCTGAGATATTTGAATTATATCTGGTTTTGATAAAATTTGGAGAATAGACAAAGATGTGCTTGGTAGAATTTCATGTTGTGCATAAGGTAAAGGGTTCGAATAATATTGTTACCTTTAAGTTTGATAAAATGTCAACTCACTGTAACATATTAAAAGTTACAACTAACGAAACTATAATAAACACAAACCACTGAATGTAAATTTGTTATGTTACACACGTATTGTTAGAGTGTGAGATGGAGACGAGCAGACAACAGGTGTAGAATGTGTAGATGTCCTTCTGGCTTCTTATTATTATAAAAACTGTAGAATTCATCGAGATATGCGTTTGTATGAACAAAACGGAAACTATGTTATTATATCTTATAACCTAACTGTATGTACTTACATCAGTTGTGCATCGTTAGCAACTTGTATTTGTCTATATTTATATAGTCTGTATTGTTTTACGTTTTATGAACAAATTAAAAGATATTATATTAATTAAATTCTGTAAATTATTATTATTTGCCGATGACTTAAAACCCTTCTCCCGAGGATCTAACCCCAGATGACTTTTATTAGTTGAGAACGGTATTACTATTTTGTAACAGTAGAGTATATTGTATACCTACTTTAAATGGATTAAAATTAATTATTTTCATATGCATTTTCTTGTAAAAAAACGACTTTTAACCTTCAAATACACTACTATTAATAATGATCAGCCATTATAAGTCATATTCAAGAAATAAAAGATGTAGGTAGGCATTATGATATTTAAGGGAATTTCTTTTAAATCTCAAATATAAACTATATTTATGGTATGGCACTTAGAGTATTAGGATTTATAAGACATTAGTACGTTGGGAGTTCTCAGATATTAGATGTTTAAAAGTCTTATACTTTGCATCAGTCTAGTCTGTTCGTTTTTAGATTTTAAGTAGATCAATAATTTGGAATACGGACGTTATATGTGATTTAGGATTGATAATAAAAAATAATATTTACTTTACTTACTATTGTATATTTGCATTATATCTTTGATCTATATCATTCATATTCGTAACTGTGTGATTTAATTAGTTTGTATAATATTTGAAATCGCAAGCTCTGTACATTCATCCTGTGCGGTGTTGGTAACGAATAAAATAGTAAAAAATAAACTCGAAGTGATGAACAATGTTTAAGCACTCGCAAGACGGAGGCAAGAAGTGGCACATTTCTTATAATATAAAAATGTCCTCGATCGCTCGGAACCAAATAACAAGTGCACACTGCAAACACATAATAGGACGTATTTGTTTTGCACGATGTCACTTTTGTTTACCACAAATCTATCGTTTGTCTTCATCGCAACGATGATGGCTTGTGCACGCACCGACGACGTCAACGGGTCACGCGAGAACGTGACATTCTCGTCGCGTATAGATAATACGACGAGCAGACATATTATTTTCGTCCCGCCCTAAACCACCCCCCCGAGAGACGTTCGAAATATCTATGGAAAAAGCTTCTTTTTCATTATTATTATTTATTTTCGCATGAACATTGTATACGTTTTTAATATAAGAGACGTGCTTGGCGTGAGATTTAAATCGCATCTAAAATATATCATATTATTCGTTTCGCGCCGACATATTATTATTAATATTGTTACAACGATTTTTGTTGTTCGTTTATTTGAATTATACTCGATTTGTTTTACGACGCTCGAAATTTAAATGTCACGAGAACAAACATTGTACACTGTTATTATAATATTCTTTATCGATACTAGCTATTTGTGTACCTAACTAATAAAATAATTTATAAGTTCTTAAAAACTGCATAAACAATAATATTTATCAAACAAAAATTATGTTTCAAGTAGCAAATTTATGCTACTGTAAGCTCCAAATTCAAAAATGTATTTATTACATATTTTCTTTCTATTAGTTAATTTTTTTTTTATTGTACGTCATGTTGTATTAATAATATTTTATAGAAAGTAAATAGAAATACATTCAAAATATATATTTGTAATATTTGTACAACAACTATTGAGTGTTGATGTATTCAAGCAAAAAACAGACTTTATGCAAACATTACTAAAATAGTTAGGTACATACAATTATTCGGGTAGGTGCGTGTATATAATATTATATATAATATGTACATATGTTATATTTATACAACTACATACGAATTACACAAAAGTATACGAAACGGAGCTTTGAACGGATTCTGGGAGTTGGTATCCGATTTCAAACACAGAAAATAAATATAAAATCAAAGAAACTTCTAAACAAAGTCTGGTTCTGCGTAGGTTACAAGCTATACTATATTAGATTGGATAAACATTTATTGTGTATATATATATTATAATATAAACTGATGAGTATACCCACTGTATCTTCTGACATTTTGAATTTTATTTGAAGTAGGAAATTCTAGCTAACACATCGTAAGTATATATATATATATATCTGTATATGGCTTTCGGTAGTTTATTAGTTTATTTCGTTAACTGTGTTATTTAAGATGAAAGGATCCCAGTATGACGAGTAAAACTGCAACAAATAAAATCAAAAGCTGTGCAGTTCAACACGCACCATGTCTTACAGATATCTGCTGTATACTAATAGCAGTTGACATGAGAATCCGTTCGCGTTTTTTTTTCATATTTTTTTTACCCCGAGGACTATATGTACCTAAATAGTAAACGAATACGATTATGAAATTTGTTCATACTAATTGTTATGTATGTTATATATATATATATATATATATATAGGTGCACCTTACTGTGACAAAATTACCCAACTATATACAACAGATGACAGTTTAAAAACTACATAAAAAAAATAAGGTTAAAGCGACGAGTGTTATTAATATTTATTTTTTTTATAATTATGTTGCTGTAAACACGAAAAAAAAACAAATTTCTTCAAACAATAACTATACTGCGATCATAAATCATAGGCACAATCTAGGGGGGGGGGGGTAGTTTCTCTTTGATTTATTAATATAGTGAACTATATGATAAGGACAAACATAATATGGTAAGGTCTCCTAGTTTAAACACTAATTCTTTGAATATGATACTTTTGTGTTTTTAGAGAATTATTCTCGAGCTTGAATATTATTTTTCTGTTTGCCTTTTACATAAGTAGGTACTGGATCACTGTATGACAAATATAACTGCAAAATATAAAATCAAAAGCTTTGTGGCTCAACACGCAATAAGCCGTAGAGACATCTGCTGCTTAGTAATAGCAGTTGACATAAGAATCCATTCAAGTGTTTTTACGTTTTTTTTTGTACTCCGAGAAGTGCCCATGGGTACGTACTAAACGAATACGCTTATGAAAATCGTTCATACTCATTGTTTACGTAGCTTGTAATATAATATGTATAGGTGCACCCTACTGTGACGAAGTGACCTATAACTATAGGTATACAACAATTTAAAAATGACATTATAAAAATACAGCAAAAGCGACGAGTGTCATTAATATTTTTTTTTATTAATTACGACTGCAGCTAACTCGAAAACGACACATTTCCGAAAAACAATAACAATACTGCGATCATAAACGTAATCTGGGGGGGGGGGGGAGGGGCAGTTGCTTGCTGACATATTAGTATAGTACTTACCATTTTCTCTGTGTGCATCGTTTTACATCATTTATTACTAAATGTGTTATCAAAATATTTATATAACTATATTGCAATTGTTAATGTTTTTATATTCATTATATAACCTATACGCCGTGTTCAATAATTATTATGGGGTGCCACTAAACCTCCAGACACCCGTACAATCTAAGCCTTTCAGTCAATATGCCTTCACCTAGTTTCATCTGCACCCTGGTACTTAATCAATAACAATCTTCATAAAGATTTTAAAGTCCAAAATCTTAACCAAATCTCCAAATTATATTACAATAAAATTTAACATCATACAAATCCACTAATCTCTAAATTATCATCGAACACACTCCCTAATAATCCGCGCCGCAGACTAAAAAGGCAATGGTGTAGAGATCTTCTTCTATAGTAGGTGAGCAGATTAAGTGCTGGACGTCGCTACCAGGTAACACCTTTCGATTATTAAAATTCTTCATTGTTATTGCTGTCGCTTAATAGGGTGTAACTACTGGGTATCCTCCCTAATCTCACGATTCATGTTAACTACTTTTATTTTATCACTTATCAAAAAATGTATAGATTGTAGATTTATTTCAATAAATAAAAAAAAAATTCATTATAGTTGAATACTGTGACTACTGGATAGTTTCTATACTAACTGTTCATATTTATATCAATATATAATTTTCCCACTTATTTTACAATCCTACAAATATTTGAAGGGCAGAAATGTGTCACTTTTCCCGTAACTATATCTTTAGATACCATAAGTAAAACATTTCTTACATTTTAGCAACCCCTCCCCCCCCCCCAACCACCCAAAATAAAAAAATAACTCAACGATAGACCACTGACTGCGATCAATTAATATTCAATCATATATTATTATAGATAATTTTCAAATTCCATTGCAGTTGTCACGGCGACATTGGCAATAAAAACTTTTTCATATTACTTACCGAGAGCAAAGCGTGGATTAAGTCAGCCTTTACAGTGGATAACGGTTTTCCTGTTATCAAAATAGTAAACGTCTCGTCTTTCTCAGAAGCCATCAAACTTCCAAACCACGATTTTTTTGTAAGTTCCGGAGAAGATTCCGGTGTTGGTTTGTATGGAGTATCCATGTCGACTGTTTGCACAAAAAAAAAAGAAAAGCACAATTTATATAAACGTATTATGACCTTAGGGGTAATTGTATAATGTCCAAAATGATGAAATGTAGAGTGTAATAAAAAACAAAATCGAGTCATCATCTTTTGCATTCAATTTGGCCAAAGCTCATTCCAGTGGTTAGGCAATCACATGCTTGTGTTCTTATTAAATTTATAAAAATATTTTTTGGTTATTTTTTTTTGTGTTTAAAAACATTTCAAGTCACAGAATTTTAATTTCACGGTTATTAATTATTATATGCTGATATCTATAAATATGAATTTAACTTGTCGTATTATTTTTTAAATCAACTGGTAAACTCTATAATTACGTTATCACAATGGTAATTGAAGCTAATGATTAAGTTAATAAGAAGATCGATTATTTTAGTAGCTATAATTACTATAGTAACTATTTTGATCAAAACGTTTAAAAAAAATATTTAACTGGTAAATTCGACCCCATCTTGGTGTCCTATGATCCATATAAATAAATTATAATATTATAACAATCTTGTGTACATCACGAAAAACGTATAATTACTTTGAGGTTTACGTCTGTGGAATTTCGGTGACCCCAGTACGCTATTGCGGATTGACGTGAGTCTCGATTTCCAATGGTTGGACAGGTGTTGAGGCGACCCCGGAGGCGTGCAGATGACCACTGAAACAATAATCACATGTTATTGTACGTTTTAATCCGCTCGTTGTGGTTTTGTTGATATTAATATTATTTATTATTATTATATTAATATTTTATCAGTGTTTGGATTTACTGTGGTTTGGAGACGAAGGTACTTCGACTTTTGCCTGCTTCGCGTGGTGCACGGGCGATGGGGGTACGGCTGCCGAGCACGAGCTGTTCGTGTCCAACGTCTGGTTGTGCGCAGATATGTAATTCCCGTGAGGGGAAATTGATGAGTTTTTCGACTGCTGGCTCTTGTGGTGATTGTGGTAACGATAGTTTGAATTGTTTGACCTAACAGTCGTAAAACGCCGACGGGCCCATTAAAACCGAAAATGATATCATTTTTTCTTTTTCCCATATGTTACCTTTGAGGAAGAGGTGATAATATACCAGCTAAGGTCGAGGAACTGGCTAAGCTCGAACCGCCACACATGTTGCCACCCGCAGAACTTACGTTGTTGTAACTTCCTCTCCTGTAGTATATGCGATTTCTGCGGTAGGAAAAAAAATTAACGTTACAAATCTTAAGTTAGGTATAAAGTTTTACACGATTTGCCCGACGCCATTAGTTTTAACCTGCACTCCAGAATAGACTATAACCATGGTAAGCACAGGATTATATTTTCATTTATTAAAGTAGTTACAGTCATCATAAATAGCGTATGATATCATTGTCGAATCGATAGTAATTGTTATTTTCAATTATGTATTCAACTAAATAATATCAAAACATGAAATAAAATAAACTTAATATATCATAGATTCGCAGTGGAGCGAACAATAATATAGGTATTGATTAAACATTAATGATTGATGAATATTTATTTTTTTTGTGCCTGGAGACACTTTTTTTACCTAGCAAAAAGTGCATACATATTCAACTTCAGTGAATTACCAGTATTTCTGTAAAGGGAAAGCAAAAAACAAATTTGGGATTCTGTTGTAATGTAAAATCATAATCTTACATACTTGTAATTTTTTTTTTACATTCACCAAATATTTATATTAGAGCTTCCTATGGTGCAATTTTCAAAAAAAAAATTAATAAAAATTAGCAGTCTCCGAGTCATCAATTAACTATAAGCATTTGACATTCTTGATTTCAGTTTTTTAGTTTTTCTTCTAATTATGTCGATGAAAAAATTGTCACTCAGTTAAAAAGCTTGAAAATGTAATACAAGATTCCTCATAAGTTGTTACTATATAGCTATTGAAAATAAATGATACTTAGATGCACGATTTTGCTTATAAGCATCTGAAGTTAAAATGTTGACATATATACTGTGTGGTACCTTTCTAATTTGTTTGTTCATTATTTCATGTATAAGATGAGCGTGGTATCTTAGTATTTTAGTACAGTGTTTATTTTTTAATTTTTTAAATAGTAAATACTATCAAAGTAATTTCTATAATTTTCTAGGATGAAAAAGTGTCATACCGAGAAAGAATATTTCCATGAAATATGTCTATATTCACAACATAAATTATTGTAAGCAAATGCTTCAAAAGCAAGTATTGCATCTTAATTGATAGCTCATAATTAAAAATACGTGAAAAAATAGGGTACCCCATGGGTAATAATATTTTTTTAGTTGTTGTAGTAGGTTCTCGGAATAATAAATATAAACGAAAACGTCATCGTCGTAAAAATGATATTTTATTCTTGGCTCAAAACGTTTAAAAAATAAAAACAATTTATACCACTGCAATCATTTCATCATTTATAAGTGCAAGCTGTCTCTTTGTTGTCGCTACAACGATCTCTTTTGGTAATAAAAATATATAATGCCTAACGTCTATTTTATATCAACTACAACATCAACAACAAACAAACAAACAAAATAATAGTAATGATAAATAAATATTTACATGCACATTGCACAGTAATGACTAATGGATTGATATTTCCGAAGGGGCTTTAGTCATTTCTGTGCGGACTCTATACATAACCACCCTCGGCGCCACTCAGCCCCACTCACTAGACGCTTTTGACTACCGTGGCAATGGTCGAGTACTCAATACGAAAAACAATCAAAACATTACATCGAACGATAAGTTTTTGTTGCGACACTATGGTTCAATAACAAACTGTAGACAATATCCAAACAATAACTATTAATGGTATATAGATAAGAGGTACCTATATTTTTCTGCTCTGTTTCATGCGCATGCCACGCAGAACTATGTACATAATTAGTTTTAGTTACCATAAGAGAGTTACAAGAGAGTCTATATACTCGTTCACTCTTACACCCAATTCCTAGTTCACCACGATAGGTATATTGAAAATCATTCGTGATTTTGCAGGTTAATTTATAAGTGTTGAAACAGTCCTACAGATTATCCTACGATTATCAATACCTATTTCTAATTATATGCTGTGCTTGAATTGATCGTGGCTTAAAAGTATACTATGTCCTCTGACGTACCCAACTAATTTATAAAGTGTTTTTTTTTTTAAATTTAATACATATAGTGTAGACTATGTGTGTCTATGTTGGCCAATGAGTTGATGACTCACGCCTTATTAGATTCTTGAAACAATGACTGTTTATTAGGTCGTGGAATTTTTGGAAAGAAGTCGTTCAATATGGATATTGTAGTATAATTTCAAACATGTTTATAATAATTGATTTGACTAAATAATATTGTTTGAAAAGTTATCAACCATATATCGTAGTCAAATTAACTAGTAATCATTTTAGTTTAGCCTACTAATATTATTTTTTCCGTGCATTTTTTAAGTGTTAAAATAAAATGTTTATTGGCAGCATAACATTTTTTTTTTTTGATTCTGTAGAATTATTATTTTTATTATGGAATTTTTGCTGGTTTCCGATAACATATTTGCCCTTTGTTGGGAGGAAAGCCGCATCTCGATATTATGAAACTACCACAACTATTTGTTTCCTAGTCAAACACTGATTTTTTAAGAACATTATATGAAGGGATTAATTTGATATTTGATGCTAGGACCAAGGCCAGAACTGAAAACAACGACATTTTTTCAATGTTTTTAAAAATATTTTTACAAAAATATAAGATTATTCGTAAAGTATAGTAGGAGTCTGAGCAAGAGGTTGGCCTAACTAGGCTTCCATAACAGTTGTATAACTCCCCCAAATTCCAAATACTATTGGCATCAATGTTCTTAACAAAAAATAGTCAATATTTATTTGTAAAAAGTTTTTAAAGTTTTTAAAAAAATTTCGGGACGGTCCCTGACACCAGTTCCTTGGAGACAAATATGGTTAAAGCCTTGTTAGTGATACCAATTAAATTTTTATAACGTCTTACGTCAAACGAATCGTCATGTATCTATTGACAATTAATGTAATTTATTTATTTTACTTACTGCAACATTTGTTTTCTAGGCGTAGCAGGAGATCCAGCACTGATCTGGGAAAAATTACTATCGATGTCATCGATCATTTTACACGTATCAACTCGCTTTTTTGGAGGGTCGAAGCTGTTTTTTGTATTTTTTACTGCGACCGTATCGTCCTCATTAGCTGGTCGTCGTTTTTTGCGCTCCAGCAATAGGAAATAAATTACTTTTTCAGTGTTATGACTATATGAAAAATAACAAAATGAACATTAAAACCTTCAGTATTAATCTAAAACAAATATTTCAATCAACGTATCAACAAAAGAAATTACAGAGAAGGTTTAATAATTCGCATTAAAATGTAATTTAAGTGCTTGTACAGTATTCGTTTGTTTGCGATTGTCATTACAATATATTTTTAATGTACACTTCAAGTCAGTCGTAGTTATTGGAATTCCATTTGAAAATATAAGTAGATATTATTATTCATATTTTGATATTATTTATTAATTTTGAATTATCACTGTTTAATCGATTTCATGACTGATTTATAATATTATGACAAAACAAACTGTTAATTTACTAAAATTCGCTCATACTTGATAATGTTTCCATTCAAATGATATAATATGACACCTCGGCGGCGTATTAACATACATTTTATGTTAGTCACTTTTATGCACTGAGTTCGTTCAATGTATATAATAATATTTGAACATGACATCGTTTATAATAATTTAATATAAATATGTACTGTGGAAGTTCTCGTAGTTTGAATCATTAGTTAGTAAAGACGATGATTTTGTTTCTCTTTTGGTTCAGGGTTTCTGAGCACGTTTAATTCAATAGCACTACTTACTCGACACTCAACAAAGCGGCGATGAGTTTCTCCCGGTCTTTGAAACAGCCTAAACTTGATATGGCTTGAAGAACGTCGGTGTCTAAGTCATTTGAGGACGGAATTATGTGGGTTTGTATGACGTCTATCATTGACATACCTAAGTGTACTTCTCCTTTACCTCCAGCGATAACCCATGAGTGTTTGTTTATGTCCTTCAACTGAAACGTAAATACATATTTATTGGTCAGTAAAAAACATTATATCATACAAATGTGAGGGAAAAAATGTTTTTATAACAAATTAGATTGGTGAACATAATAATTACACAAATGCTAAAATGTTTATAAAACTGATAATCATTTACAGCACATTATTGAAATGTGCAAACCATCGTATGTCAATCTTCAAAATATTATAACAATAAAATAATTAAATTTCTAGGTATTATGAGGAACGAGCAATAGTGCGGTACTGAGAACCCTTATTTTTTTTAAACAATTAATCACCCCCAAAATGTTGTATGTTTGGTATAATGACGTATACGAAAAAACCTTAACCACGAGTTTCTTATAAAAAAGATATAAAACGAACATTTTCGTTGAAATAAATAAATAACAATATTTTAATATTTGCCAAACATATCTAATAAGAGTTAATGTATCTTAACTTAATGCTCAACAATTACGATTGTCAAATTTTCAGTAGAATAATATTAAACAGAAATAACTGGAAAATAGTTGTAGCGGTTTGCCGGATGAGCAAGACGTAAGGCACAAGTGCCCCCAATCTCAACTCTATAATACGTAAGAAGGAAGGAAGGAAACAATAATAGTTTTAAAAAAAAAGAGTTTGGAATCAGCGTATTTATTTCATTATTTAGGTCAGCTTGACAGAATAACGTCCACTTAAAGAAATTAGATTTCAATTCTGTAAAACGATTTGAGTTATTTAATTGACATATTTTCTGGATTATTCCGGAAGTTGATATTTGATGCCTTTTTAAAAATTAATCTTAAATCCCATTTTAATTTATCTTGTCTTTTTAAATTTCAAATTTACCCTAATGTTTTTTTTAAGAAAGTTTAACAGTTGTTTATATATTTTATACTTTTCATTTCAATATAATACTTCAGATATTAATTATACCATTAAATCAAATAATATTAGAGGGATATATATTATATCAAACATAATTTGGAAGGATCTTCGCCAACAACTATATGGAACCCAAATGTATGCCCATAAGGACAATGTATAACCAATGGCCATGGAGGTACTAATTTCGAGCCTATGTGGGTAATCAAAAAAATATAAGCAATCAATTGGTGTATTATAGATAGCACAGAAAAAAAAGAAAGTGTACCTATAATAACAAGGTTAAATCCGTAATAACTTCATTAAGTCAAAGATGGGACGACTATCTTGGTATTTATTTGCATAATTCAATAAATCTAAGAGAAAAAAAACAATTCAAAACCCAAAATAATAAAAATAAAATTGTAAAAATTGTATGATATTCTTGAATTTAAAAATAAGTGGTCATTGCTCAAGATGAATTAACACATTATATTCCATGTACCTATATTTATATTTGTAACAATATTGGATTTGTTTATTTTTGTTTTTGCTTCTGTTTGTATTATTTTTATCATAATATAGAATTTGAATTTAAGTGTTAACATTTTACTTCAAACACAATGTTATAGCTATAAAGATAAGAAAGATATAGATAGAAAATAAAAAAACCATAACTATATTATATTATGTGCAGTGAATAATTTTCTATACAAAATATTTTTTAAAAAAAATCATTAATTACTATTTGTCATTTTTCGAAAAAAAATTTCGGTTATTTTAAATTATAAAATAACTCAGACAATTATTAATAAAATAACATAACAATTAATTATTACCGACCACCACGTGCCGTAGGAGCTAACTATTTTTGTGTCCATTACTAGAGAAACGAAAAATATATTGCCTGGCCTTTGTTGACCACTGACCGGTACAAAATAAATAAGATAATTAGGGGGAGATGAAAAATATATGGCAAAATGAGGAGGAAAAAATATTTTCTCAGGAGTTAACGTCGATATGTCAATCAGTTGGAAGTGTTAGAATCGAATACTGAAAATCAAATGAAAATCTGTGTAATGGATGTCAAAATTTAAAAAATACTTCACATCAATCTTTCATAATAAGCTTAGCATTCTAAATATTATGATATTATTTTTGTACTTTATAGACATGATCAAACAGAAATACAAGTTCTAGCCGTACATAGTCAGTTGTTTGTAGTTAAGTAATACTAATTATTTTAAAGCGTTATGCTACTGAAAATTATTTTCTGTGTGCGTTTTATGTAATTACTGATGTTTTTTTAAATATTTATACTATAAAAAGTGCACTTAAAGTTTTGCTCATTAGTCAATACAACATGACATTTAAATTATAGTAACTTGATATTATATTATTTTCACTAATTTTAAAGTTGTACAAAACTTCAAGGACTGCTAAATATTGTATAGACTTATTGTCGGTGAACTATTTAAGGAAAGAATGATGTCAATTTCTCCTCATTATATCTGTACTATAATTGTATAATCTCATTTGTACAATAAGTAAAAACATGTCCCCCTCTCAAAAAAAAATTCGAATTTACATTTTACACCACACCGCCCAATGACATCGAATACGATTCCTCGTCGGTCAAGCTGAATATTGTATACTTTCAGAATACTTACGGTTAACCGTTTTTCCGGGTTGACTTCAATCATGCCACGGAGCAAGTTTTGACAATCCGGCGGAACGAAATGCGGTATGTGGAAAACGCCCTTTTTCACCTTCTCCAACAGTTGGCGCAAGTTGTCGTCGTCGAATGGCAGCGCGCCGACAAGCAGAGCGTACAGTATTACACCACAGGACCAAACGTCTGCTTTCCGCCCGTCATATTTCTCGCCCTGAAAATCATATTAAAACAAACCACGTGAGTTCTGAGTAGTTATAGAGAAATATTTTCTTGATAATATTATATTCAGAAGAATCGTCGATTATTATTTGTTAATTAGTAATATTATAATTATTGAATATTATTTAAACATTGAAATACTTAAAAAAAATTACGCCAATTTAAATAATAGGTGTATTGTATTTTAATACGATTGTTTTTATTGATAGTCATTATTTTTACACTTCATATATTTACATTATTTGTTCAAAATGGTCATCGGTCATCCGGACAAAAAATATAGCTATATGATAGGCTCAATGGTCAATCGCATTTTTTCATATTTACATTATAAAAAGCGAAAAAATTCGATGGTTGTATGTATTATAGTTTGATTGAAATTTTAACTCAAGGTTCACAAAATAATAATTGTAAAAATAAAATAAATAATGAACCACCAAATTGATAAGCATTTAAAATTAAAAATTCAATATTATCAATTTATGAACTCTAACAAGTGTTTAAAATAAAATTTAAATAATTGATAGCAAAAGTATTTGAAAAAATGATTTGATATTATAAATTGAGCGTACAATGTATTTGTGTAAATATTAAATTTCTTTTTTTCCCGTATAAGATAAATGTGCTTGAGCGAGGCGTTTATAATGTATTTGTGCGAGCATGGTACGATAAAGTGTGAGGGAATATTTATTTATTTACCAATATTAATGTAATAAGATTGAACAATTTATCAGTAAATTCAGTATTAACAATAGTAAAAGTTGTGTTTGGGTCAATGGTTAAGTTAGGATACAATAAAAGTTGATATTAATCTACTCACTAAGAATACGGACAGTTAATAATTTGGTTTCGTTATATTATTTAAATAAAATATTTTTTATTTAATAATGTATACATGTCAAAATCCTCTCTTTTTTGTTATAGTATTCTTAGAATAGTCAAGTTGCGGGCCCAACCGTGATGGATTAATCATACAGTTAACATAAAAATAAATTTAAGGTAACGTCAAATTTGTTTCATTCTGCTGCTAGGCACGGCATGAACGGGAAATCGGAAAACTGTAGAGGGCTGTCGTTGTCCTACAAAACATGTCTTGCAGTTCATATTTTTGATTTATTAAATTCTTATTTAAAATGTTACAGCATATTGTTATTAATAAATCGCTCAAAACATTTTGCACACTTACTAAAATTCAAACAGCTTCAATTTAAAATATTCATACATTTTTACTCTAATACTTAAGAACAATGCGTAGGTTTCTAATACGATGCGTATGGAAGCATTGAAACTGACGTTTCATTTGCAATTGAATGGCATCGATTTCGATTTTTTTTTTTTATAAAAAAACAAAAATCACGAGGTTGTAAGTACATTATATTATACTTAAAGTATAAGCACTTTAAGGAAACAATCAGTTGAATAGTTTCAAGTATTGTGGTTTAAATATATGTGTCGTGGCTTATAAGAAAATTTGCCACAACAAATTCTTTATTACGATATTCTAATAATTTCGTTATTATAATTATTATAATCATCAAAGAGAAAACACTCCAGTATCTGAGACGTAATAAAAGGGTGGTGATCACAATACTTTTTATGGAACTTTTTTTTCATACTCATTCCACTGTTATATTGTTATATATAAAGATGCAATTAAAATACATTGAAAAATAAAAAAACAAGACCCGATTCAAAGAAAAGAGACATCTCAATGGGTCCCTGAGACGATCCACCCATCGCACACCTCCAATATGCTAGCGAGACAATCATCAATACAAAGAGAAAATCGTAATATTAATTATTTATTGAAGGTTCATTAAAAAGTCTCAAGATTTTATCTCTTGTTTATCTGGAACGCATGCCGCAGGCCCGAAAATCATTTGAACTAACCACTGTTGCAGTGTTGCGTAAAATAATCATCGAGGTTTATATAGGTAGTTGTATATAATATATGCTAGAGAAAAAAATATCTTACTCGGATGACTTCGGGGCACGCGTAGTGAGGAGAACCACAACTTGTTTCGAGCATGCTTCCGTTGGGCTGCAGAGACGCCATACCGAAGTCAGCGATTTTAATGTTGGTCTTTTCGTCCAGCAATAAGTTTTCCGGTTTCAAATCTCTGTGGCTGTGGAAATACAAAACAAACAATAACTGATTAGTTAAATATAACTCACTATGTACACAGTTGATTACATTTAAGTTAATATTGTGATAACAATACCTGTTTATACATATGTCAATTAAATATGTATATTTATCAGTATTAATTATACAGTGATGGCGATTGCCATTTTTATTCTCAGGAAACGACGATCAACCCATAATTTGTATGGACTAGAAGTAGTGCATACTATAATAGCCGTGTGACAGGGTATCTCTTTTTGACGTGGGAAGTGACTTAACAATTTTCTTACACTTATCCAATAAAATGTGACAACCGATGACTTAAGTATATATATATATATATATATTCTCTCGGCGCACATTTTTGACACGACTTATTTACTTTTATGTCCCGTCATTGCGTCAAGTTTTATTATTCTCCCGGTATGTCGTAGTTTCGTACATATTATCGTGATGATAATATTGTAAAAGTGTGTATACCTAATGGGTGACAAAAAAAAAAAACCACTATCACACGGCGTTTTGGATAGGCAAATCGGGTACACCACTGTCGTGCTCGTCCGTCATAATAATAATATTCTTATCTTCTAGCTAATATTATTTCAAAATACTTTATACATTAGGAAGTCGAAAATAAAATGGTGTGAAAAATCACTTTCACCCCAACCCAACTTAACTCAACCCAAAAATCTGCTATTTGGAACTGAAACTCAGAGTCTTCAGCCTCCGATCCATGATACTGTTTTAGGATTTTTACTGACATACAGAATGGAAAGAACCCCAAAACGGACCCGTTTAGATCGATTAGGTATAAAATAATGAATTATAATGATGGTTAACTGCCCGAGGACATGTCCAGACGACTATATAGTTAGGTTACCTCGGTGTATGTTAGCGATGTACCTATTCATAAAAATTTCTATACATAGCCAATAATAATACAATATGTGTTATTGTACGAGTACATATTTTATGAACCAACCCTCAGGGCACTTTTATGACATCAAGGATATTTTATAGAGCGTCATTTTAAAAATACTAAATAAATCTATTCTAATAAATCTATCTCAACAAATAATAAAACACTGATTTTCAAGTTCGAGTAAAAAACAAAGAAACATTTTTTTTCGATATTTTTCAAAATTATTTATGAATGCTTATTTATTGTGTATATAGTTTTAAGAATATTAATTTTATCTGATACACTATATTATTGTTTATATTAAGTGATCAAACTACGATTTATCATGCATAGTATAACTACTATGCCAACTGCAGTATATGCTTACCGTGTGGTTTGCTAATTGCTGGTTAACTTAATAAATATTTTATTTTGAAGTATAAAATAATACATGATTTGCGATGTTGGTTTTTAGTGTAAATGTTACAATCAAATAGACAAACAGTAAAATATACTAAACATATTTATACAAAAATACGTACTGTATTATTATGTAAGTACCATGTTATATATTGCTTAATGTTTCTAAATAAATAAATTATGTTAAATCGTTTTGAAAGTTTTGGTGTTTCTTGTTAGTTATTGTTCAAAAAAATATTGTTTAACCATGAAAAGTTACCTACTCCAAATTATATAAGTATTTACATGAATTAATCATACATCGACGTGCAATAGATTATCAACACCATTTATTATTTTTATTAATATTATTATTTTTACCTATATTTTAATTTATAAGTTATAATCAACAATTAATTTTAAAAAAAACTTAACAAAATTATTATTATTATGTAACACGTTTATATACCAGCAGATTATTAGCTAGATTTTCTTTCCTGTTCGTATTTTACAAGGCTATGACTAAAAACAAATGTTGAGGGGGGCCAGAGGGGCCAAATGGGTTATAAATCATCAATATATATTTTTCCTCCCTCCTACTTTATATGTAGCTGGTAATAAAAAAATTATAATTTTTTGTCAAAAAAACATGTGTTTAAAGAATATAACAATTCTAATCCAAGCTGAGCGATGCAATTATTTTTAAAAGTCTATTGCTACGTCATATCCAAATAATTGGAGCTCCCTCTTCTAATTTTAAACGATATTTGTACGTCACATTATATGAGTCCATCACAAATTCAATATCTAAATACCTATGTAGATAACCGAAACGAACATTGTAACCACCATAGGTAAACAAAATGACTTATGCAGCAATATACCAAGCGGGTAAAATATGTACACGGTTTAAACGTCATAGTCGTCAACATCGTCTTCATTAATATTCAAAGAAAACTTTTGAAAATCACTGAAGCTGACAGCGATGGTCATTTATTATTATTCCGTGTCGGCTCGTCATGGTGTTTCGGTTAATCAGATTTATAACGAAAATTGCGTGAACAGCACCTAACCTAACCAGAGTAGATGCCTACTTACGGCTAACGATATGGGTTGCAAACAATAATGGAAATAGCTTATTTCGGAATTTTTTTAAATAATTTTAAAATTCAAATTGTATTTATGATCACACTCAATACTAAAATACGATAAAATCGATTATTGAATACTGTGGTATTCAAATATATTGGAAGCGAGAGATGTTATCATTAGCATACATAGAAAACTATTGTTCAATACTCTAACACCAAACCAAGAAAAGTAAATTGCAACTATTAATATTCAGGTGCAGACTTAACATGCTGTCTGCGCATACTTTGTTTTCTCTCTCTGACCTTCGTGATAATTATAACAACTTTAAAATAATAATCCTTCATTTTTGAGTCAATATTCGATTAAATTATAAGTTTCACCCCCCCCCCCCCAAAGAAAGAAGCATTTTCCTTAATTTTTTAATAAACGATTTTACTCCAAGTCTTAGAACATTCAAATTCGATGAAAAATAATTTCTGGTGATTGCGGGTTATGTAGTCTATACTGTGTGAGTGAATCAGGGAAAAAAACAAAAATATTAATATTGAGCTGACATCCTGTTAAACAACAATTTCAAACAAAAAGTTTAAAACTTAGATCATAATAATATTCATACACATAATATAGGCATATTGTGCTGCATACAATTGTTCTGTTTGTTTTTGGTTATCGTTGTCTACGTTCACTATATAGGGTTACCAAACATGCTCATCCCTTTTTTATCTTTGATAATACAGTTATTCAAAATCTGATTTTTTAAATTTTTAATATACTTAAAGACCATATTCTAAAATTGTTGAGATATTTTGTAGTACTTAACGAGTGTTCTGTGGAAATACAATTTTTTTTCAAATTAACCCCCCCCCCTTCCCTACTGTAAATTATTCAGTAGATAAATTTTCTGACAAATTTAACGTATTAGAATCAAAATTCGTACAAGTAGTTTTAAGTTATTTAACTTTGAGTATTAAGGATAAAAGATATACGGTAATGGGTTCATAAGATATGGGGGCTATGGTGATTTGAATATTTAAGTCATCAAATAATCAAAATTCATAATTTATAAAAACGGCTCAAGTATAGTAAATACTAGTTCCATTATTACATCTATTTTATAGTTTTGTAAAACCATTTTTAAGGTCTATTATCATTAGAACAAACAATTTAAAAGGTAACTAAGAAACTACTCATTAAAACTTAAAGTTAGGAACATAAAGTTAAAAATGAAGTTAAATAAAGTTAACATAAAGTTAGGAACATCCAAATTTTTTAAAAAATAGCCCACTAACTAATTTATAGCAAAAAAGCCGGATTCTCAGTTGAAAAACAGAAATTTGTATCACTATTCGCCATAGGACACTCCTTAAATAGTATAAAAAAATCACTGGAATTGTGTATTAAAAATTTTTTAAAAATCAGAATTTGAATAAATTCATTATTAAAGGGAAAACGAGGGAGATCACTCTGTACATAGTGTACAATAAACACCGGAGATTTCGTTTGATTTTTCAAAACGCGAATAATGCTGTTATTGTCTTCGGCTGACGATAAATGGCTGGCCGCGTTGCTCTAACAATAATAATATTTTATACAACCGTACAATTATTTCTACCCATTTTCGAATAGGAATTCGTGCGCGATTCGTATGCTATATGAATGTTATGCGCCACAAAGGCTTGGGATTAAAAGTCGACCGAGAAATAGCAAAAATGGTTTCTCTTTTTTTAAACTTTATTTGAATTACTTTGGAAAAAAAACTAACAATTTAAACGTATTATTATTCTAAATAGGTATTTACGAAAAATACTATAATGTTCTATATTGTATAATTTAACCTGAACAATAATAAAAAGTACAATCGGATAATTTATGCATTTTTAAATATTTTTTCGCTACGAAGTCGTAATACAACTTAAATACCTTATCAAGTATAGATTATAGGTAGGTACGTGATATTTTAATACATTTTAAGGTTGTTTTAAAATGGTATACAATTACGCTCAAAGCTCGACTTATAAAATGGTGATAACCGATAATTGTGAGGGAAATGCATATTTGTGTAAGTACTTTTAATAATTTGAAAAAAATTCCTTAAAAAACACAAATATACAAAATTACCAAGGGTTAAAAAGCAACGTCCTTAAACATGTTTGTTTTGTTATATTCACAAATCACCTCATAATATTATATTATTATTATATTGCTACGAAAAATCTATTTTTATACTGGATATTTTTACATATTTCAACAATAGAATCACGGAGAATATATATCTTGTGATGTTATATTTAAATTCAGTAAAAAATTCTATGGATTTACTTAATTAGATGTTAATAATGTTAGGTACATATATAATAAGTACATAATGTATTTCACTAATCATAAAAAACCATACACTAAAGATAAACAGTTAAACATCCTTGTAAAGAAATGACTGGTTACGAACCAATTTTTTCATATAGGTAAAGTTATAATATTTCTCAGTTATAGGGACAGTAAAATATACAAGATATAGATTATACGGGATCGCTGATATTTTCCGTTGTAAAGTCATTTCCGTCTTATCGGAGATCCGTTATGAAGAGGTTTTACTACATTTGTATATGTTTTACTACATTTTTTTATACTTATAAGAAAGTCTTAACTAAATATAATTATTCAATGTATATTATATGGAAATGAAATGCGAGCCAATTACGACATATAAATTATGGTGACATCAGATGTGTAGGAGATACCTATTCCAGTAAAATAGATCGAATTAGATATTCTTAAAATTAGAGAGAAGAATGTACATAATTTATCTTCTTGGCTAGACTACATAAATAGGGCCTAAGGCGGGGACCATATTCAGACGTGATCAAACAGTGTTTGTGCAAGCGACTTCATCATGGCATCTGGAGTTTCAACTGTAAAACTCATAGAATATTTTCAAAAGTAATTTTATAATAACGTATTTGATTAGTATTTTGTATGACTATTGTAGTATTATTTCAACTTCAAAGTTAAGTCACGTCCATTCAAACTGATTTTGATATTAGCACTCAAACAGTGTATTATATAATATATAATATAATTTTAGGTTTCGATAAACTAATCCATTCACTATACATTCACGCTCAGGCCCAAAAATTGTCTAACTATCACATAGGATATTTGTCTATTGTCTACTGTGCAAATCGTACATTTTTTAGGCCTAAATCTATACCGTAGATCAACATGAGCAACCCACATATACACAACAAACGCCTTGCTTTGAATAACCGCGGATATTTTGACAATTACGACATCTATTATTCTATAGTTACATTTAAACATATTAACTTGAAAAATAAAACTTATCTTCATAAACTTTACTTAAAGCCAATATAGACTTACAGAACACAACTCTGGGGCTCAGCCAAACTGCCGAACCCTCGAACATTAATAAAATCCAAATGTCTCCGTCAAATTACTAAAGCACCCTTTTATGTCTCAAACCACACTCTACACAAAGACCTCTGAATTTAAACCGTACAAAATGTAGCTATAAAAACATCTAAAAACGACTTCTCTCCTACCCCCTCAACCATCGCATTTCACTCCCATCTCTGCTCTTACCATCTTACCATCCTAGGTAACCCCTAGTGACCACGGAAGACGTCTAAATCGAAAATGGATGAGTAGCGATCTCTTAATTGACTGATACACACACATATGCCATGAAGTTCCATTTTTGAATCGATTTTTTACGAAAGTCTAAATAACATTACTTTCGCTTATCGTAACAATTTTAAATTAAAGATTATGAAATACATATTTATTTTATAATAGACAAAAAAAATGTTCGATAAACGACATAACTCCTTCTTTGAGATATAAATTCATTTTTCAGGATTTTTATCCTATATACGTACTTAAATTTAAAACACTGTTAGTTACGATAGTTATGTTAAGTCACTATTCATTTTTGACTGTTTGCCCATAACTATCTAACTTCGACGGTATAACTAGGTATTAAAAAGAACCCACTCTTATTAATGATGCACCAGTTTAATGCTTTTCAGTAATGATACTGTCTGCAGTAATATTTTGTTACAAATCGATTATTGCGAGATGTTATATAACACCTAGTCGTCTCATTTATCATGAAATCTCACTTAATATACTCTACTCTTCGTTATTATAAATAATACCCATCTGGCGCCCACCAACTGACCTAGTTCGTACATTATACGAGTTGTGCAAAAATGTTATCTACGAATTTTACTATGGTTTTGAAAACGATTTGCCGAATTCATATATTATTTGTAAACTGTAGACAATAATTAATATTCAAATAATTATTACGTTTCATATTAAAGTAAAATGCAATTCTGCAGTCAAATTCGTCCATTTAATTAATATAATTAAAACATTACCTTTAAATTCGTTTTTTACTATATAATATCATTCAGTATATATTGTACAATATATACTCAACGTTAATATATTTAATTAGCTTTTTTCAACAGCAATACGGCTTGACATTTATAAAATTATTAAAATTTACCTATAATAGTGATAGAACTAACGAGATCAAATATTAGCAAAATATTGGAATGATTGTAAGTGTGGATTGCAGACCTCTGCAAATGATTTGTCATGAATTGTGTATGACCGGAAAGAGCAATGTTTTAGTTAACATAATTAATACAACCTAAGGGTGATTTTAATTTTTTGAATTATTTTAAAATGTACGTATGCATGACCGGACATTTTTATAATTCTCAGGATGTGCACCGAAACATTTTACCGGTAATTCTTACATATGACTTACAAACGAAAAACATTTTTTAAAATTAATTCTCATATAGATATAGATTATTTACGCTACATAAACATAAATAGTATAAAATACATAAACTGTCTGATACACACTACACACATTAAAAGTGACAAGTATTTATCTTTTGAGTGGCTACCTAATGATCTTAAAAACGATTTCTTTGTGGCTTTAACGGATATACAATCGATTACAATGTATTAACGGTCTAAAAGTTAACAAAAAACTAAAAGTTGAAAAATGTAGTATACATCGTTTATTATTTGAAATAATAAACTAAAATAATAATAAAGTTATATTATTTATTCACAACAGGTATATATGTTTTTATTTTTCAAATTTTATATATTATATAAAAATTATAAAAAAATGTTTATATTATTTTTAAACTTGAGTAATATATATATATAATTGTATTGATTGTTTTAAATAAAGTTATTTCTTTTTGCCACTTTTTTTTAGAGAAATCGATTTCCTATAACCCAACTGTAATTATTGTACGTAATGAAGGTTCAGTTCAGAAGATTAGATAAGTAAGTTTTCTGAAAAGCAATGACATTTTTACTATAGTCTTTTGACATATGGTTTTGATACTAAAAATATATATAATACATTCCATTTGATTATATTTAATACATAAGCCTTGTCGTAAAATAGATAATATATCATTTGTAAAATATAGAAACTCTTCTGCCTATAGTAGTAAAGTCTACACAATTAAATAAATGGGTATACCCAATACGTTCAAAAATCCGGAATTTTGGTTTTAATTAAATACAGTTTTTCAAAAATAAGAAATTATAGTAAATATAAATAGGTTACCTATATAAAATATTTAAGTATATTCAGTATATGTCCCGCATTAGACGGTGGTTCAGTAAATGCTAAGACCAATTGTGCATACATAAAAAAATATGAGATAGTCAAATTTTAATTTAAAAAAACTGTTTAGCATTTATTTATTTCATAAATTAAACGTGTAACTATAGAACAGTTTATTTATTACATGGCCTACTAAAGGATGAATGTATTATCACGTTCTAATATTATAAGAAACGCATGCTTACCATATTAAATGACTGTGACAAAAGTCTAAGGCAGAGATGATTTGTCGAAAAAATCTTCTGGCTTCTTTTGGCGTCAGCCTCCCCTTTTTAACCAAGTAGTCAAAAAGTTCTCCACCGGACACGTGTTCCAGTATCAAGTATCTGAAATTGCAATTAATATAATTAATATACAACTACTGTTATCAGGCTTTCGCTATACAGTAGAAAACTTAAACACATTCAAGGGGAGATGGTATATTTGTGCCAATTTTACTACTTGTAATTTTCGCCATATCTATATCTTAATTTTGGTTATCTGCGCCATTACAGAAAACGAAATAGCACAGAATTTAAACTGCACCACACTTTCAATTTAAATTATTGGAATAATTTACACCATACTTAGCTCACATCAGAATAGCATGTATACAACTTGAATAAATAACACGGGCTATTAAGAACACGAACGATTGGACAATGAATTATAATATTCCTGATTTTTACATATTTTATAATTATCTGAAATGTTACTAATTTTAGTCACCCACAGTATTCTTATACGAAATAACTATAATTATAATAATTAGCTTACATTTTTATAATTTTTCTTGAAATATACTTATAAGTATGAAAATGAACTTGATTTATTAATAAAATACAAAAAAATAAAGTACATTTTAGTAAATTACAAAATAATAGTTATTAATTATTATAAAGAGTCGACAATTTAAATGTTGTTACCTACGATACAACATTTTTGCAAATTACAATTTTTATACCTCGTTATAAGATTACGCAGTTTACATGTATTTTTATTGAATTGTATATGGTGCAAATTACCAAAATAAATTTTTAAATGAAGAGCAAGTTTTTATTTTATTTTTGGTTGTTTTTGGACACAAATTACACTCGCTCCTACCAAGGAAAAATAACCCAAACGACATTTGTATAAATCACATCTTCGAAATGTAATATGGTACGGTGTGATGTTTGTATTTAAACTGCAAGGTTCATTGGCCAGACGATGACCATTATAGTGTGGTTCCACGTAACATAAGTATCATAGAACTCGAAAAAATGTATCATCAGATAAAATATATATTATAAAAAAATATTTTTAACGGTGGTCAACTTACTGGCCGTTCAGAATGCTGTATAACAGTTTTATTGTGCATTTATTATAGCCAATGGGTGTTTAACTAAATTAAAATACAATTTAGTATTATTTAAGATTAAAAAGTTACTTCGTGAAATAATTCACCGCTGAAAATTCAAGAAAACTGATTTAATCTATATAGTAAGAAATCAATAGTATTGAATTTGTAAAACGTGTGCCATGTGATTAACCTCGTGGTGTTAGACTTCACGCCGATCTTTAGTAATATTTAATAATATTATATTTGATTTTTTAATTTAGATTAGAATAGCCTAAGGTATTTTTTGTATTACATTTTCAGCTCATGCAATTAGAAAGAAACAAGCACAACTATACGAAAATAAAGATAAAACGTTAAATTTTTAAATCTTCATTATTGTTAGAACAAAAACTAACTATCGTGTATACTATGCAATATCCACTTAAATTAAGATTTATTAAACATTTTAAGTTTTGATTGTTATTATTCTTGAATTACAATCGAGGTACCATCAATCGATTTCGTATTAAAGACGGCCATCTGTTTTGTTCAATCCAATGTAAACTTTAGACTTGAAATCTTTCTGTAGTTTTCCTTTACGCTTGACGAGATTATTGAGAGAATCGATAGGTACATCACCTCTTGAATGTACCAATATTATTATTCTTTGATTTTTTAAATTTAAACACACGGTATGTACTACGTATATATTAATTAATTTTTTTTGTACAATGAGCATAATAGTTGGTCGTTGTTCATTTTTTTATGACAGGTATAAATCTAACCTATATAAGCGAGTTTTTGTGGTTTAGGAGTAAGCAGTGGTAGCGAAATTAATAATAATATATTATAGAATATTGATGGCTATGTTTTCTGCCGTTTTTATATTATAAACATCTGAATGCATAGTATTCGGCTCGTGACATAATAAGGGGCGTTAGATTAGATAGAGGGCATTTCGGCTGAAATGTTTGGATTTTTGGGCTGAATAAAATTTTTGGATTCCATACAACCATAATATGGGCTTGCGAAGTAGTTTTTTAGTATTTGTTGGTTGGTATGCGAAGTGAGTTGGGGTGATTTGAACAATAATTTAAATCATGGAGATTTCGGTTGTATACTAGGTGATATCAATTCAATATATGACAAAAATTATAAAAATTATATAGATGATACATAATTTTAAAAAAAATTTATGTTAGATAATTCCCAAATAGAATAGGTACTTTGAAAAAAGTTATTACGTTTCAAATTAATGGAATTTATAAAATTTATAAAAAATTAACTAATTGACTTAAATAAAAGTTTTTACCGCTAAAATTTTTCCTAAAAATAAGACTTACAAATTTGTTTTTTTGAATTTTAGCAAAAAATTTAATAAAATTTAAAATGTTCGGTATTAAAAAAGAAATGTTATGCTTTACTTGTAGCGCAAGCGCCTATAAATTATTTTAAAAATGTTTAAATATTGATTAGAACGAAAGATATTTTATTTGTTAGGTCTTTCTGTTGTACCCAGTATTCCAGTATAGGTTAGGTAGGTATTTAGTTTTTTGTGGACCGGGTGTTTGTATATAATTAAAAGTTGCAATTTAACCATTTCTTTATGAAAAATGCGTGTGTTCGAGATCATACCGATCAGCCAGGTTGTATAAATTGCACATATGTAGATTTTTAATGGTGATTATTGTATCTATTTATCTACATTGCAAATCTGTAAAATCATAAATAATATTTTACCTATGTGTTTTGTTTTGTTTTAAACCAGCTTAATTATAACGTCCCATCGCTCATAATCATAAAATATTTAACGACGACAATCGTTCAGCAAACGTTCATAACTTTATAAGCCATTATGACATTTGATTGATAAACAAATTATAAAACCAACAAAGATATCATATTATGTACCTATAAACCTAATATACATTTTGAACCGCACCTACTCGACAATATATCGTGAAACCATACACCGATGTTTACTTTTTTTACATGCCTTATATTTGCGTTATTTCATTCATTGGACAAATATTAATGCACATCGAGTCCGTTTTTCGGACGGTATTGAATGTCATTATTTACTTTATCTGTAAGCTGCGTTCGTTCCAAAAACAAAACCATTATACTACAGCTGTATATATGACCCGTCGCATTTGTTTTCGAATACTCTGTACCTAATATTAATGCATTTTTAAACGATTAATTAACATTGACGCGTATACATATTGTATACAGGCAGAATGAATATAAATGGATAGTCGTTTTTGTTCATTGGACCAGGTATAATAAATTTGTTTTCTTTTTTAAATTTAAAAACCTCATATTTTATAATATTATCAGCTCCGGTAAAAATGTATAAAAAACAATTTAAGAAAACATATCACCCTTCAAGCGTGATAGATCTCTAGATTCCTATACGTTAAGAAAGAAAATTTTGTGTACCAAGTAATTATAATTTATTATATTAAAATAGTAATAAAAATTGATAATAAACTTTTTTTTACACTATCATTCAATAGTAATAAATAGTACTATACTTGAGTAATTAGTGAACGTAGATATATATATTAAAGGTATAAAAAATAAATAAATATACTGATTTACTTATCAATGTATTTTATATTGCTTATTCACAACCATGGAAATGAAAATATCGTAACTAGAATTAACCACCGATTTCATTGTGAATACATCTCATGCATTACAGTGAATTCATTCCTGTATACAGTTATATGCGTAACACACCATTGTGGTGCTGTTATTATGGTACTTAATGGTGCAACAATGGTAAAACCCATAATTTTATGGTAGAATTTCATATGCCATTTCTTATAGTAATAACAATATAAGACATTTGAGCTATAGGATTGAGAGCCACATCTCAGATGAGTTATATAGTTATTATATTTCCTTTTGTATTTTATTTATTGCTCAAAACCCGATTCTGATTTATTTGTATTTATTTTTAATCTATTTTTCCAAACCCTTCAAATAATATAAATACAACTTCTGATGAAAAAGATTAAAGGCTGAACAATTTTCAGACAAAATATATCAAAATATCAGTGCTGAATACATCATTCAAGCCTTAAGCTTTAAATCAATAAGTTAAGACTTAAAATACAAACTAAAATAAATTACCTAACTAAATCAAATAGTATTATTACTGTTATACCGTCAGATATTTCAAACAAAACATCACCATAAAATAATGGGTCATTCGATTTTTGCCATAGAACGCCGTATAACAGTGTGCATTTGGCATGTCAATTTTATGAATATGATTAAGGTTTTACATTGAATTTTCCGCAAGTATAATGATATGTTTTATACGGTTATATTATCAATATTTTTTTAACAAAAAAGAAGGTCGTTATACTTGTTATTATTATATACCTATACTTGGTTCATGGTTCGCTGAATACCATACCATAATATGGTATTACTGAAAATCATATTTCTTCTCAGACATATATGATTGGGGTAAACTTATTAAAAGTCAATAAATATTATGATGATTATAATAATATATTATATAACGGGTGTAAAATATAATGGGATTGACTTTAATTGAATACGAATAAAGTAAAATGCACATTCAAAATATTTTAATTGCTCAACTCACAAGTATCGTTTGTTTTCGTAGACGTCTGACAAGCCCAACACGTGCGGGTGGTCGATGAGTTTCATTATTGCAATCTCCCTTTCCACCTGAAACCGAATAAAAACAAATAGTTATATTTCAATACTGAACTACGAAAAACTTAAACAATATATAAAATATAATTAGTATCTGTTGGCTCTATGACGCACGTTCACGACTAGACATATCTAATATTCGTATTTATAATATATTTTAAAGTAGCCAATTGTGGTTAATGCAGTAATTCTATACCATTATATGCTTTGCCACAAATTAAGTGTTGAGAATAAATTAATTTGGACTATGATAAAAGATAAAAAAAAACCTAAAGTATATTTAGATAAAGGATAAGAATGTTCAACTATATCTAAATAAATAAAAGGCTGCCTATAGTGAATAATTAGATGTTAAAATAATTATTTTGCTCAGGGGATTTTTGCATTAGACTTCACAAAGTCCAACTACATCCAATTTTCTACCAGAATCCACTCTCAGAGTTAAAAATCAATTTTTGTACCTCAAAAATCGAAAAGTGATGACAGTAACAAAAAAAAATACTCATCGTTGTAAAAAAGTCACTCCTCTCGGAATCTAACAAATCAGGATAAATAATTTAAGTATACCTAGATGACTGAAGTTTTTATCCAAGGTAGATACATAGATAATGTTTAGATGTTCACCTATAAATGCAAACAAATATTAAATACTCGAAATGTTAAAGAGTTTTGATTAGAAGTTACCTAAATGTTCTAGTAATATGTTTTTTTTTTTTATTACTTAATCTAATGAAACTATGAAGCTTATTATCAGATATTGATTCAATTATTTAAATTATTATTTTGGTCTGTTTGGTCTTATTGATTTTTTTTTTTGTTTTTTATAACTTGCCTATTGTTTTATACATTAAAATATGAAAATATGCAAACATTGTATATTTTTTTAAATAGTTTCTTGGTGTCTACTTTTTTTAAATTTCCAACAATATAACCACAGAAATACATACTGAACTTTAAATGAAGAATTTTTTTTTCGAAATGTACATAATCGTAGTAGCTGTAAATATATTTGTCTTATAGTATTTGTACTATAATTTTAAAAGAATTGAACGTTGAGATTTTTTTAATTTAATTTTTATTGCTCTGTGTATGATTTTTAGCAATTTTTTGCTTCATTTTATTTTGTTTGTTAAGAGTCTTATCAGTTATCACGGATCTCTATAACATTATAACTTAAGTAAAAAAACCATAAATATGTCAACAATCATTATTTTATAGACAAAAGCATTATGTTCACGTTTTTATAAATAGACTAATAAACGAGAAAGGTCTCTGATATAATATCAAAAGCTTCCACTGCAGCTTAAGTTCTCAGATGGCCTACCCCTTCTATACCAATAGTGCGTATTGTTAACTAACAAAAATATCAATAAATACGATGTAGCGCATTATACCTACGCATTATGACGAGTAAATATGTTATGAATTATATATAGGTACCTACATAATGTATTAATATCATTACAATGTGTACCAAGTACCAACATCTGTTATAATATAATTATAAGACAGGTCAAGTCGTTTAAAACGCAGTCTGAATAAATATGAAAACTACCCCTCAAATTCACTCGTGTGTCCGGGGTTGTTTTTCTTATACGGGCCGTGCTTATCGCAATAATTAGTATTACAAACACCCCGGTCGAACACGTAACCTATATATTGCCCTATATTTACAGAAGCTATTTGAGCGTATCTATCTCGCACATTACTTTAAGTATTTCAGTTCGAATACATCGTATGGCAGGACCACGGTACCACGTAGTACAGGGTTGAATTCAAACACCCAGGGATAAAAATGATATACCTACATTTTCATTGAAATTGCCCGAGGTGTAACTTTAATATTTTATTTTAATATGAGATAATATATTATTAAAAAGGGAGATTACTCAGCTGCCGGTTACATTTCGTATTTGCATATCATCTACGAGTACTTAATACACGGAAAATATTCTAACAACGAATACAAGAAAACAATTCCACTTGGGGCAAGATTAAAATCCAATGGCCAGATTAGTATAAATATTTTATTATATTTTGGTACCTGTACTAAAGACGTACCTCTATAAATTCTAATATAGCGCACCTACTACACCATTGTTACACTTTTTCATTCGAGAAATATTAAATAAAAACTATATTATGATATGGAATATTATGCATTCCATTAAATTACACGAGTAGTCAACAAAATCTTTGTGTGGGAGGGGGTAAACAGCACTTTTAGGCCCTCTCCACGAGATCGCCTTGATGACGAAAAATTCTTTACATTCTCTTATTTGCATCCATAACACGGTGATTTTTGTTATGCCCATCCTTTAATATTGAAAATATTTAATTAATTTGTATTATTTACAATATATTTTAGAGACATGCAATGATTATCTTTGAGATTATATACGAATATTTTAATTTTAAAGCGAGTTTAGAGTATTTTAAAATTATAAATTGTCTGTACATTTTAAAATGCTCATAACTCACTTTAAAATTAAAATACAATAAAATGCCCACGAGACGTCCTAGATATTAATTGTATACCTTTAAATTTTGAGATAGGTCAATTCACTCTGATTTCTAAACTAACGCAGCTAAACGTGATCTGCTGAGCGTAATAAGTTGTATGTTATGCATTGGCAAGACGAGTTCAACACTTGCAGATGCAAGTGCTACAGCCTTTTAAAAGGATTGTTATTTGACTATAGATGCATCGACCATTGTACGATTCAAGTCCGAAATAATATTAAGAACATAATATTACGCCTTAGGACGAATCCCCGATACCCCCTCCATTACTGTTCTGCCCCGGTGAACAAACTCTTTTGTAGTCAAGCACAAGCAGCCGAATTCGTATGATTGTCTTCGCGGCAGTGAAGGGATGAAAAATAATATCGTTTAATCGGGTGAACCGGAAATCGTAACATTTACATAAGTCACCGTCGGCGTCGTATTTTAGTATTTATGTAAGTCTCGTGAATCGAAACACGAGGAAGAAGTTACTTATAAACAAATTAAATACGATGTACAAGTGTGGTGTGAGTAGGTGTTTGTGTGGGCACGTTATTATTACGTATAGTAAACATCGTACCTATATGCAAATAAATATAAATTATTATGTTCGGCGAAATTATACGGCGGAGCTCTACTTTGTAAAACAATCAAAGTTACTTTGTTGCCGCCGGTTGACACAACTTCAATGAGCTTTTCGCGGTTACCATAATAATATAGATTAATTAATTAGCAGACAAAATATCGTAATACCACGCGTTTCTCGAAAAACCTTCCGGCGGTAAACCTTCCAGGAATAATATCACCGGCATTTCGTGTTCCTCGCGCGAGACGCGAATGTAAATGATATTCGAACATAGCACGCGTGCATAATATAAGACGCTTTGATCATTATTATTGTTATTATTATATGGTTTTCCCCGCAGACATGAACCGAGTTATTAAATATTAATAATAATAATAATATTACGACCATGCGAAACGATGTTTCGGTGTTTTAACGGCGGCGTACATAACAAACAAACGTGAGCCATTAGAGGGTGCAGCGACTGCTGTTTTTCAGATATTATTTTGTTTTCGACTCGGCAGTTAAGGCGCGGTACGTTCGTTGAATTGCGTGGTCACGAAAAAATTAGATATCTTAACAATAATTATTCCAGTGATTTATAGAGTAAACATTTTACTTCGCCAGCAAACAATTAAAAGAGTTTCAGCCTAGGGATAATTACTATAGTTATAGGTAACAGCTGCAGCAGACTACTTCAATATTATTATCAATCTGTTCGCAGAATTTATTCCACAAAATTAAGTACCCAAATAGTAAATAATTTATAGGCGCATAATAATAATATATTATCGTAGAGCTAGACGGTAAGCTAAACTCATTATTCACCGTGTGTGTAAGACAAGCGCTGACCGTCATGGAACGATACATTGAGAAACGATTATAAATTTAATAACGGAACTAATATATAATAAAAAACAACTATGGGACTAGGCAACTAGCTCAGCTGTATTGTTTAGATTTCGAGCGTACCTCGTCATTCATTACTAGGTCACTGTAATGCGTGTGAAGTTGATTTGAACTCAATGATAAATCAATGACAGCTTCAAAAGCTCGCAGAATAAAGTAGGTAACCACTTTGCTGTACAGTAGGTGTCGAGTGTACCTCGGCATTGAGTAACTATCTGTAGTGCATGTGTTAAATTTATTGTAATTCAATGATAAATCAATGCATTCGAAAAACGAGTTCTGATCAAAGACGGTCTGTCAGCCTATATTACTACAAGTATAATTTATCATATATTGTATTGCTAGTATAGTATCTAATTTATTTTACTATTATAGCAATATGACAGATTCAACTAATTTTTATCGACATTTGTAGAAACAAGAAATCGAAAATTTAAAGTACCTATAAATAGCTCAAAACGAATCAAAATATTTTGAAATTTCTACTAGATTATACAGGAAAAGCGAGAAAAATATCAGAAATATATTGATCAAAGTGGCAATTATCTAAGCTTTTATTGTTTTTGAATCACAACAAGATATTGGTTTTGTCAAAAACTGGTTTTCTGTAAAAATGTTCAGTTTTTTCAACGTAACCCCAAAGTACCAACTATAGATCCAACTTTTTCCCAGAAACCACCCTCAAAGTATAAAATGTATTCATTTTTACTGCTATTAAAGATAATGAGCTACGCTCAGAATCTATGAAATCGAGACTGTGGACTTTTGAAATATTTTTACACTAAAGTAAAAAGACCTAAGTCTTGCTTTGGGTACCTACTATAATGGTTTATACTTACTATATGTCTTTGTATTACATTTCCAAGTTTTTGAATTTTTGTTGTTGTTGCTATTTTCAGAATTCGGTCAATTACGCATTTGGTAAACATTATTTTCTACCGCTATGTAATTTCCGGAGAAAACGTATTAATGGTTTCATTTAAATAAAGAGATCCTTCATTCTCTAAAACAGATTAATTTGGACGAATGCATG